CCTGCTCCCTAGGTGTGGCAAGGAAGAATCTGGGCATCTCAGTGATAACTGAGGTGGAAAGATGATTGAATTTTTATATCACCTTCAGTATCAGGGTGAGTTGAGAACCATCACAACCACCACTATGAGAGCTAATATTTATTGAAAATGTGACACACTCTCTCTCTATATATATATATGCATACACAACACCAGACTTAAGTTTTTATATCCATCTAATCATCTTTATAATAATCTCAAGGTAGCCATTTTTATTATTCCCATAGAAAATGGGAAAAAAATGTCTTAAAGCAACTAAGGCATGGACACAAGATCTGAATTTAGAACCTATACCTGTAAAACCACTTTAAAAACACTATTTTTCAGTGAACTATTACGGCTGAAATTCTCAACACTACAACAGGATAGGGACTCCAGGGTTTTATTTAGGTTGATTTTAAAAAATATTCTTTTTTGGTGTGTTTGTGTTAGTCACTCAGTTGTGTCCAACTCTTTGCGACCCCATGGACTGTAACCCACCAGGCTCCTCTGTCCATGGGATTCTCCAGGCAAGAATACTGGAGTGGACTGTCATAAACCTGACAAATTTACACATTCCAAGGAATAATTTAGCTTTTGGCTCACTATTCCTATCATAATTAATGATCATTTCAAAAAACGCATATGATCCTTTCAATATCCAAGTTTCTTAATTTCTTGAATTCATATCTTTACATAACCTCACTTTCACTCAACTACCATACTCACATTCTAGAAGTTACTAATTATGGTACTCTAATATTTTCAATCTCAGTCCGTTACTCTATTTCAACCTCCCAAATTTCCTACCTCTAGGAAATAACAACACATCTTCAACCACACTGCAATCTCAATGGATCATACCATTTCTCCATTGTGCCTGAAACTCCATTTTCTCAATTTGCTCATTACCAGATTACTTTCCATGTCCCTCCTTCATAATCATTCTTTTGATTATGTCAACACCTTTCCCCTCTCACTTTTTGTTATATTCATGTGAAGAAATTCCAACTTTAAAAATCTGACTGTCCACTCAATAGCAGTACAAAGGCTAAACTGGGAAAAACACAAAACCACACTGACTGATCTCAATTAAATTAACAACCATGGACTTCAAGTAGGCACTTTTTAAGTAATATCCAGCAATCCTTCTAAGTGTCTTTTTCTCACTTCCCTAAATATCTATATTACATCTTTCCTCAATCTATTTTTCCCCAACACTTCATCCCTCTACTTCATGACCTTGCTTCCTATTAACTGAGAAAATATAACAAAAATTTTATATGCTCCCATTAGATATACCAAACTACAAATATCTAGATCTTTATAATCTGCCCTTCCTTCCACTGCTATTAATGAGCTGTTTACACACCCATCTTTAAAACTAACACTTCTATTTATACACCATATCTATGGTTCCAGTGACATTTCTCTCACTCCTGCATCATGTCTTTGTTTTTCCTCTACTATATTAGGCCATACAAATCTGCTATATTTTCGATCTTTATCAAATAAAAACAAAACCTTCTTGATACTATATCTCCCTGTATTAACAACCCATTTCACCATTCCCTCAGAGAGCAAGACTCCTTAACATTTGTCTTCGGAACTCATCTTTCTTACATCATCAACAGACCTAACATATTTAATCACTCCTTCCTAGTTGAGCTTCTTTATTCATTTGGGATTACCTACTCTTAGTCAAGTTTTCTTACCACTTGACATCTAAATATTAGCATGTGCCAGGGTTCAAATCTCCATTCGTCTATTTCCTACCTTTAAATTTTTCACTTACCTTATTTCACAAAGCTATGAGTAAAAGGGAAGAAGCTGTAATATACAACATCATTCCAACAAAGATCTAAGTGACTCTAAGGTAAAACTGTTACTACATACTCACAGAAGAGTATCAACCAGAACAAATTCAATAAAACATATCAATGTTTCCTACTTAACATACAGCTGAAGTTAATTTTACTAAGGGAACAGAATAATTTTATATAGGAAACATTTATACCACTGCATGACATTCTGATACACTGGCAGACACAACAATGAAAAACTGTTAGGGCAAGTCTACAAATTTCCTAACCTGTGAAAAATCCCCCACCACTTAAGAGAAAAAACAAAATCAAAACAACAACATCAAAATCATCAAAACTCAGCCAAGCAAAACTACTCTGAGAATAATTACAAAAAATAAGATTACTATTTAAAAAAGTGTTAAGTGCATCAGTATACAAGTGAGAATGAAAAAGGGCAATATTTGTAACCATAAAAGAAAATTTCTATTTAGTATTATAAAATTATTTGATAAAAAAATTTATGTAATTATCAAATTACACTTTCCTCAACATATAGATAACAAAGAAAAATTAAGATCATTATTTTAATTGGAAAGAAAATAATTTATTATATGAGGAAGATGATTAAAATACATGTGACAGATCTATAATAAACTGATTTAAATGCATATAGATTTAATTTTTAAATACACTTTAAAAGCTATTACGCACAGTTCCATAGTCCAGGTGGTCAATTTCATCTCCACAAAGGTGGAAAGCACTTGAGAGATAAAAGGTACCTAAAACACCATAAAAATTCATTAAAAATAATGATTAGTGAACAGTTCACTAGTTCTAAAATAACTAAAAGCTAGAACATTTATATTTAGAAAATTAGTGAATCATGTCAGTGCAACAAAATTTTAATTATCTAACAGCATATAAACTGACTTATAACATTAAAAAATAAAAATTTTAACTGTGCCAATAGAAAAAAGCAACAGCAATTTCAACATTTCCTGCTTTTGGTACTCTATGAGTGACAATGATTAACAACAGAATTTTGCATTGTTTTCATAGTACTATTAGTAGGATTTGCAAGAAAAGGGATGCAAAGCCTCCAACGTTGTATTTTCCTACTAATAAAAGTTTAGGTGGCTAGGGTGATGTCTTGGATCCACGTAATCAGTTTAATCTACCAAAGCAGTACTCAAATTGGTCAGTGCTTAGAACCACTAAGGGAAAATTAGATTCTTGGTCCTGATTCCAGAGATTCTCATCTATGAGTTCTATGATAGAATCCAGGAATCTTAACGTATAAAAATCCCTCCTCAGTGGTTCTCAACCTTGGTTGTACATTAGAACCAATGCTCTGTGAGGTTTGAAAATACTGATATCTATGCAGAAATACAGACCAATTAAAACAAAACTCTAGGAAGAAATCCAAGCAAAATACTTTTTACTTAAACCATTGCTCTTACATTCCTACCAGAACTGTTTCTTTCCACTTATTGTGCTACCCTGAGTCAACTTTATCTTTTTCCCTCTCTGCTACTCTTTTCTCAATCCTTTTATTTTGTTTAGAAAAAGAAAGGGAAAAAAGATACTTCGACTTGCTATCTCAAAGGAGATTTCCATAATAAAACCTCAGATGTTTGCTACTTTTATCTGGAATTCACACTGAAATTCAGTTATTTAAATTTTCAACACATGTATTTTTTATAGGGGGAAAAAAAACCCTTTCCCCAGTCAAATTTTATAACAGGTTATAGAGAACACCTAAACCAGATACATCATGAAAGAGAAAGCATTTATGTTACTCAATTAGACTTAGAAAATATATAAATAGAAGAAGAATAAAATCTGTGTTAAAGTGAATGCATCCATTCTCCAAGTAAATAAGTTGACCTGATTCACTAACTTTCTCTGGAAAAACTACATAACCTAAAGGACAGCACAGAAAATTCAGCAACAAATCTAAAAACCACATAAAAGATTTGTTCAATCAACACAGATAATTTTAGAAATACTTAATTTCAATACATTGTAAAAAAAAAATATTGCTTAAGCTGGATCAGTGGGTTGGGGAGAGACAAAACACTTCTAGGAAAATAAAAAAAACACTGCCCCAAAAGGATACGACAAGAAAGGATACACTTTGTATGACAGTATTACAGCAGTATTTACGCAGGGATGCTTCTAAAGAGGAACAGCAGAATGCAGTTTAATTTTTCTCTCATATTTCATGTTAGATTTACAAATAAATGTTTAAACACACACAGAAAATGGTTTATTTTCATCTGTTCTTCTAAGCTATTTGTAAGACATCTGACTATACCAGTATAGATACTTTACTACAAAATTCAAATATTCAAGGTGCCTCCCAAAGGGAATAAACATTAGCAAAACTTTATATAATTTTTTCAGGTTAACCATGAGTAATTTTGGCCCATTTATTCATGTTCTTCCATTATTCTAAAGCAGAAAGATTTAAAACAAAATGAATATATTTCCACTCATCTTTCTTAAATCAATATTGACATAAAATGCTTCATTTTATCATTTTTAATTATTAAATTAATTATGAATTAAAATTACTTATTTGAAAGATGAAATACTTCATTCCAAAAAATATGGACATATTTCTGTGAGGAGGACAATTAGAAATTAGCAATGCAAATTCTCATGTCTCACCAAGCGTAACCAACTTGTCCTAACTTGGCAGACACCTTCCCAATGTTAGCAGTAAAAAGTCCAGTATCCTAGAAAACCTTATTCACAGGAAAACTAGGAAAACTGATTACCCAAGGCCAAACACCCTTGCAGAACTACTAAATCAGAAATTCTGTATGGGGGTTAGAGGAAATCCAGTAATCTGTGTTTTATCAGGCCCTCTAGGTGATTACAATACATGTTAAAATTTAATAAGTACTGATTTATTCTAAGAAAAGAAAGTAAATTAAGAATATTAAAGATACATTGCCCTTATAAAATTCATTCTCTCCAAATTTAATTTTTTACATACAAATGAGCTTTATTCCAGAATTGTGAAGTTTAATGAATAGTTTAACAGCATAGTAAGACGGTCAGAGTGATGGGTTCTTTAAAAACATTACTCAGGCTATCATCCTTTCTTAATTTTCTCTCAAGAAAGTCATTCTTTTAGTATGGTATCTCCACACTTACCTTTACTAATTTTTAACACTTTCTTTTTCCTTCTTTAGAATCTTGTTTTGGTCTAGCAGATCGAGCAAATTGCTAATATTTAAAAATTAAGGTTTCCTTCAAAAATATGAAAGGAATATTTTCTAAAGAATTATCAAGAACATCCTAATGTAGGGTAGCAGCAGAGCTTTTAATTTCTCTATTTGTCTTCCTACTCAGTCATTCGTCAGTATTTCTTGAATGCCTCCTAGCTGTTTATGATGTGGGGGAGGAGCAAAAAATTTTCCCTTTTGTTTAGTCATTTTTTACACCTAGACCTCTGCTCCTTCATTTATCCCACTGATTTCTAGTTTGAAATTGCATTAACTGCGGAAAATACGATGGCTAATCAATGATATATTGTTATTAAAATTCTTAAACATAAATATGAATTACAATAAAATATAAAACTAACTACAATGAATCATATCTTCCTTTTAAGGATTCTAATGTACTTCTGGATACTGTACTATCTTTGATTTAACATGAGTATATATATTTTAAGTATTAAATAAAATGTTTAGACTTGGCTGGATTTTAATAGCCTCATTATGCTTATTTTCCTATAAAAATCTAAATAACATTGTGATCTGACTCAAATGTTTATATTATAAATATTTATAACTGAATATTCTCAAGCTGGAATGCAAGCTGCTGAGATTTCCAAAGCATAATATAAAAATTAGTTTCAACTATACCCTTACTGCTATAAACTCAATCTGGAACCAACTAACTTGAAGGATACAACCACCATAGGTTTTCCAAAAAGAACATATCCATTAGCTTCCTTTAACGCTTTTGCTGCTGCTTTTTCATTTGGAAGTCCAATGAAAGCTTGTCCTTTCATGCGACCTTCTTTCATCAAACGTATATCAAACCTAGAAGTCAAAGAAGAAAGAATGTTTTGACTCAAAAAATGTCAAAGAATTCTGATTGTGAATGGGAATGTGTTAAAATTCTGCTATTTCAGAATAAAAATGACTATACTATCTGATTCGCACATTACTTAGGCTTTCTAAAATTATATTTTATATTCTGCTTTAAAATTGTTTTCATAAGTAGGTGATGTAAGTTGATGATATTCTTATCATTTTTTATCTATCATAAAAGCATATGTGATTTAAAAAATCATATTACTTGCAGCTATAAAAGTAAATAAGTTTTTCTTTCATCTCTCTTTTTTAAAAGTTCTATGCAGCCAATTTAATACTGTTTACTCAAGTGACAAAAACAACTATACGATGAGGAATAAAAGGGTTGACAGAAACTATAGAAAAGTAACATGGAATTTCAGAGGAGAAAGGGACTTTATTGATCACCTAGTCAAAAATCACCATTTTACAGACGATGTGTACAGAGATTGAGTGAATTCTTCAGTGTTACACTGAGAGCTAAAGTTAGGGCCAAAAACACAAACCAGATTTTGTATTCCAAGTTAGTCATTATTCCCTAGTGTATAGCTGTTAACATTTTGGGGGAGGAAACTATAAACTACTTAAAAAACAGACTATAATTTAAAACTAAAGTACTGCCTAGCATTTAGTCTATGAGACTAGCAAAAGCATATAAAGAATTTTTAAGAATCAAAATGTGCAAATTTTTTTCTAAAAAATTCACAAGACTACTCCCACAGGAAACAATTATTAATTTATCATTTTGATGTGTACAGCTTCTCAATACAGAATTATTTTTCCTCTCAAATGGTAATGGGAGGCAATACTGGAAATAGAAAGGATGCATAAACATGGTGTGTACATATACATACACATACAGACACATGCATATATATATAGACACATACAATAACACAATACATTTGTGTGTGACATACATACATTGACACATACACACACATACGGATGTATATATTTTTAAATTTTTTCTGCTTATACAAAGGCAACAACAAGAACAAGGGTTAGTATTTTGCACATCCAGCAAAATAAACTTTTGGTATCCTGATAAAAAGAGGTATCTGCCACCAATGAATATAAATGGACAGTTTTAAAACACAGTGTATGCTTATTTAAAGAAGTACATTGTCCAGGTTAAGACTTTAGAAATATTAATTTTACATTAATTAGTCACTTCTCTAGCTAACTTCCATTCAAGAGTCTCCCTCCTTACATTTTCTAATTTTTACTTCTAATTTATATGGCCAAGGTCATATATATTTTAGAGTTAATTATAAAATTTCAAAGAATGAAATTCTAACTTCAAACATTAGCTTTTAAATCATTTACAATCATATCCTTCTCTTTTGCACTCATAAAATTGGAAGTCTTTCCAACTGAAAGAAGAGAAGCTACCACACAGTAAGAATCTAAAACACTTGGCTTTCGTACCATATACTCCTGAATTAATCATTAAAACACTAGTTTTCAAAATCTAATCTTTGGACCAGCAGCTCTGGCATTATCCACGGGCTTTTTAGAAACACAAATACATCCATCTCAGCTTAGAAAACCATCCTTTCTAGGGATGGACCAAGGAAATGGTTTTACTAAACTCTTAGGCAGGTTAAAGTCTGAGAACCACCACTTTAGGGTTAGGGAAGAAGTCTAGAATTTATGATGAAACCTGTTTCTATAAATGTTTTATGAAACTCAGTCATTAATATTCATTTATGTATTGTTTAGAGCTGCTTTCATGCTACAAAGACAAAACTGAGTAGTTGCAACAGACACTGTAATATTTTAATATAAAAACATTAAATTTTTACTGTTTATTTAAAAAGAAATTTGCTGAATCCTGATCTAGATGTCTAAAAGATTAATTATACAACAGATATGAGCAATTTCTTCATATAATTTTAATCACTAAAGGGAAAATGATATTTAAAAAGGGCTAATTTCTAAGAGAGTAAAAACAAAACATACATGCCACTTACATTATCCGCTGTGTTTCTGATGAAAAGTCAACATATCTTCCAAAAATAAATTTAAGGTCCTAGAATTTCAACAAAGAAAAGACCAATAAGGAAAACCAGGGGAAAACATGCAAAATAATAAAACCAATTTATAAATTTCAGCTTACCTTTTCCTGAACATGTTTAGCTAAATTCTTTACATAAATTCTACAGTTTGGTTCACCAGGTTCGTAACTTCTAAAAACTGAAAGTGTTTCCATTTCTTACATAAAAACAAAGCAAGACAAAGATATAAAATTAAGACAGCTTCATCAATTTTTTGAAGAAAAACTTTAACAGCATTCAAATGTAACTGCTAAATAGACAAATAAGCATTAAGAAAATGTTAAAATCATAGAAATTAATGACAATGTTACTAATGGTATAAAAACAACCATTAAAAATCTAAAGTGATAAGTTAAAAAATTTCAGGCATCTAGAATAACTAAAATGTATCTGATAAAATATTTTCATTAAAGCACTTTAAAGCTTAATTTTAAGAATGAGTTACTTTATTTGAAAGACTGAAGCAAATAAAGATGCTATCAAACATCTGTGTTATTGTTCTGATTAAAGTCAATCTCCCTAAGTACTAGACACCAATATATTCAAATATAAAATAAATTACTTACAATGTAATTATCAAGAATTTCAGACAAACTGTGGGTTCTGAATCTCTATGTAGCTACTTCTATTTAATCTCTGAAATGTGTCCCTGACAACTATATGTTTAAGCAAAAATGCAATTTGGAAGTCTGTTTCCCATTATTATGAAAAAATTATAATGTGTCACATGTCAATCTAAAATCCCTAAATATTTTAAGATATACTAAAATAGGAAAAAATCCATTAGAAGTAAAAAGCTATCATATTAGGATATAAAATTCATAAACACAGGCTTTTAATTACCAAAGAGTTAAAACTGTATTTTTAGACAAACAACTGCTTTGCATACATCTCAGACACAGTATTGTGATGGTCTATCAACTGTAACCTGAATACGGAATTCCAGAGTGTTGGTTATACTGACTTAAGATGTCATATAAAAGTTTCAGAAATGAAAACATTCTTCCAAACAAATACTCTGGGAACATTGTATTGAGGAATATCTTCCCTATAAAGTAGGAGCACTAAAAAGCAAAAGTGATGATTAAAAACATTTAACTGAAGAGATGTCTTGAAGTACATGCTTTAGTTAAAGTAAATAACATGAAGAGATTTGTTTTGTTTCTGAAGGGCCAAAGAAGTGTAAAATAGAAAGTAAGTTCTGGTTTATTTCATGAAATTACCTTCTCGAGAAACTCTGCCCTTTTCCAACTCCCTTCTAGAAATACATTCTGATGGCATTTCATCAGAGTCGTCTTTAATCTCCTCTGTGGTGTTCAAATTTGGTTGGGGGAAGATTTTTCCAAATCCTATATTAGATGCATCAGCTTCAGTAGCAGGTAAGTCTAAGAGTTAACATTGATATTAGCCATTAAAAATCTTTCCTTCAAAATAGTTTTTCTTTTCCATTTTTAATTTTTACGATATCTTCTAGCACTAAACCCCTTTGGTGTTTTTCTCAATGCTTTGCAACAGTGGTGAGCAATCTTTTTCTATAAAGGTTCAAGCAGTAAATATTTTAGGTTTTGCAGGCCATATGGTTTCTATCATGACTATTCAACTCTGACACTATAATATGAAAATCACAAAATAAGACACTTCCATTTGAGGATACTAAAAAAAAAAAAAAAAAAATCCATCCATTATACCTCTCCCCATCAAAAAAAAAAAAAAAAAGTCAATACTAATGGTGGTCCTACAAGAGGTCAGGAAAAATATGTATTTGCACACTTACTCAATTAGGAAAATTAAAATCATTATAAATTTTTAATTCACAACATAGCAACATAATGAATTTCATTCAGAAAACATGAATTTTAGCTTCAGTGAAAGTTAAACTGATTTGGGGTAGAGGGTTGGGAAGGACAGGATTAAACATGCAGTAGAAAAATTCCCAGTTATACTACCTAAAAAGGCAAACAAAACCTTAAAAAATCTATGAAAATGATGCAAATAACATACCGCACTTAGGATCTTAAAAGTCTCCTCTAACACATTTAGAACCAATTTTAGTTTTATTTAAAAAGTTTAAAATCAATAGTATTCCATGACACTAAGGAAGACCTAATTGCACATTTTAAATATACTCATAAATACTAAAAACAGAAGCACATAAAATTTAATTCTAATACAAAAAACTGATTGAGAAAATTTTTACATAGCATGTTAAAGAACTAGAATATGCTTACCACAATTTTCTTCTTCACAATTTTGTTGCTTTTCTAAATCTTTCTTAAATGCAGCTTGCATGTCAGTAGATATATGGAATTCAATTTTTTTATTACCTACAGGTTGTGGTTGGTCAAATACATCCGAAGGTAACAACACTGGATGTAAACTGCTGTTTATAAACAATCATAGCATTACTTTGTAATTGCAAACAAAATTTTGAGAAAAACATTATTTCATATTAACTTTAAATTTAAAACATTAACACTAATAAAACACACTAGAGGCACTGAACAAAGTAACTTACACTTAATACTTTAAAAATCCTAACAACTATTCTCATATAGATATTATTAAATTCTTAGTTTAGACAGGTAAGGTGTTTGAGGTTAAAGGATGTTAAATAATTGCATAAAGTCAGTCAGTAAATGACAGAGATAGAACTTTAGGACTATTGATTCTAAACATCAGGATATTGGGTCAGGATATTGGCCAATACGCAAAAAAGTTCATTCTATGATTAATGTAAGCATTTTATGCACTGTATTCTATATACTATATGTAATAAATCTATGCTGGCCAATGGAGTAGCCATAAGCCACATGTGGCTAATAAGCACTTGAAATCTTGCTTATGTTCTAATCTGTACTTATGTTCTAAGTACAAAATATACACCAGAGTTTGACAACTTTGTGTGGAAAAAAAGAAATGTAAAACATTTCAATAATGTTTTATATTAATTGTATTTTGAAATAACAGTTGAGGTATAACTGGTTCAATAAAATACATTATTAAAATTAATTTCATCTTTTAATGTAGCCACTGGTAAATTTAATTGGTTCACATTACAGCTGACCTTTGAACAACTCAAGAGGTTAGGGGCCGTGACCCCAGAGCAGTCAAAAACCTGTATGTATATAACTTCATCAACCTTCCATATCCATGGTTCCTCTGTATTCATGGATCCATACCCATGGACTTAACCAACCTTAGATCATGTAGTACTGTAGTATTTACTGAAAAAATCTGCATAAATATAAGTGGACCCACACAGTTAAACCCACGCTGTTTAAGGGTCAACTAAATTAGCTTTTAATTGCTTGGTGCTGTTATAGAAATTAAAAGCATGGGACTGTGATGTCAAAACATACACAGGTGGGAAATATGCATCATATTATGTACACTTAACATGAGAAAATAATTCTAAAAAATCCAAAGATTAAAGACCCATTCCTATAAAAATGTAAAAACATCATTTTAACAAACTTTTCTCAATTTATGAAGTTACTTACAAGTTCAAAGTAAATTTACCTTGTAGAAAAGCTGAACAGAATTAAAACTGTAATTAATAGCAATTTTCACTGATTAAGATATCTAAGTACACAGAAACCCATGGCAAATAGGCTAATAATTTCTACCATAATTTCAAAAAAAAATTTGTTAATGCAAAATGTCAGATCACTAGTCAAAAGGGACATTTCAAACAAAATACACAGTAATAAACACTATTTCACTGGCAATTTCTCTATTCTAACACAAAGTTTAAGACATAGTGGGAAATTAATTTATATCTAATAAAATTCTTTCATACTTATAGCCCTGATCATCACCCCACATCGGTGTATTTTCTGAAAGCTTACTGTAAGATGATAAAATCTGAGAGAAATTTTTAACTTTTTAATGTCAGTGGTATTAAAACGGTTCCTTCAATGTATTCAAATATTGTAACATAACATTTAAGGAAGGCAGGTTTCTCCACATCCTTCTAGCTTTCCCTTTCATCATTTCTATTCCTATGCACCAAACTGCCTTACCTCTGGAAATGTACTTTTTTATTCAAATTGGATCTCTCTTCCCTGAGCCATTTTTGCTGCTCCTCCTTCAAGCCCAGCTCAAATTGTCTCCTCTGTCTTAAAGTATTTCCAGGTTTCTTAACAGGCTGTGATCTCTCCTTTCTCACAATCTTTCATTCTCAGTTACATCTTGTTATAACATTAAATATTATAAATGCTAATACAATAGTCATCTGTGCATATGTTTTACCTGTCCATAAGACTATTAACTTAATGTTTGAAAAGGTAGCACTGAGCTTTGGAAGCATGCTCCAAACCCCACAATATTTAGCATAAAACTTATCACACATTGAATAAGGTCCTGTGTATTAAAGCCATGTGAACTTTTACCTGCTAGGGTACTCTGAAGCGAAAAAATGTTTGATATCAGGTAGTGAAGTTAGGAAAAACTAACAAACTTTCATATAAGCACACTGGTAATGCCATTATCAAAACTGTCAGTACAGGAAGAGAAAGAGATAATTAAAGTAAATTAATTTTGTTTTGAATAATACCTTAAGTGCATACAAGAATTGAGTATACAAACAGGAAACTAGAAATAAAGACTTTGGAACTCAGGAGTTTAAATCTAGAGATGGAGATTTGGAATCTATCAGCTACAACAGAATCACAAAAATTAATGATATTAACAAGTAGTAAAAACATATGAATGGAAAATGACCACAGACAGGAGTAAATGGAATCCAATAGTTAAAAAACAAGTGAGTAAGTGAGTGAAAGTCACAAAAGAAAAAAGTAGGAAGAAAAAGAGAAAGAGACGGAGTTAAGATGAGAAACAAAAAAATTAAAGGTGGACAATTTTGAAACCTGGCATAGTCAATAGTATCAAATGCTGGTCAACTTTGAGAAAATTAGGGATACTTGTGAATTTGGCAAATAAGAAATCACTGGTAAACCAAATGGACTGATAAAAGTCAGAATGAGAAATTATTTCAGTTAAGCAATTAAACAAAGTATATAAAGAACTCTTATCCTATAATCTAGAACAAAGCTACCTGTGTGAAATAGATGATGGTATATTCAACATATCCTTTATTTTTCTCTTTTTTCTCACATGGCGCTGCTTTACTGGTTTTGGTCTTTTGGGCTGAAGATTTGCCAGTTCCATTAGTTTGGTCATTCTACATTAGCAGAAAGAAAAGTAAATAAGATTTATGTAAAAGCTCAGTTATTTACCATTGTTTTTGTTAAGCTTAAATTTTTATTTGAGCTTATAAATTATAAAATGATTTGTATGGCTTAAGTAGAATCTCTAAGTCATAATTTAAGATATATTTCATTTGACAAAAGCTCAAGTTATGAATCTCCTTGATCAATTTTCATCTTAGCTTGAAGGAACTGGGAATTTTCTTAACTGCAATCTGTCAAGTTTTAAAGATATGTTTTATTATGAAAATTACTAGTTGCCCAAATAAATGACTGTACTTTGTGCCAAAAAGATAAACAAGATACACTAAATATAATCTTTGTAACTTTACTGCTCTTTCCTTGACTGATATTCAACAGACCTTACAAACATAGTAAAATTATTTTGATTCATATTCTAAGTATTAAAGAAAACCTAGACTTAAATACTTTATTTAAAAATATTTTGTGCATAATTGTTGGAAAGCATCCTTATATAAATAAGATAACTTACACCGTACTTGAAAATAAGAGTTTTCAAATACTATGCTCTAAAGTAGCTTAATCAATCAAGGGTTCACAATTGATACTTTGTATATAACTTATCTGCATTATGATTATGAATATTTAGAATAGATCTTGTCTAGCCTTTCTTGTCTCTTCCACAGGATCAGATACAGTGTTTCCACAAAGCAAGTTCAAAACCATTAGTCGCAGCTCTATTTCTCCAGAGTTAAATTTTATTTTAGGTTCTGCTGAACATTATTAACAACTTATTGCTCTTTTTCAGAAGCTTTAAATAAAATGTATGTAGATCATCAAGAATAACCAATAAAATAATTCATTTGCAGTAATTATTATGAATATTCTTGTATAAAATTCTATGAAGTTGCTCTAGAAATTACTCTGAGGTAAATAAAGTCCAGGGAAGTAAGCTGACAAAACAGAAATACAACCTAATTTTGTTCTATAAAATCTTCGCAAATACTGAAATTAGTGAATAATGAATCACTGCCCCTAGAGGAAATTCAGGATTAGGTTCCTGCAAGCATGTGCTCACATTTCACTCACTGATCAATATACACCTCATTTTATGTTTGTTTACTTTTAAGAACATCTTTTTTAATATATATTTTTGATTCAATAATACTGAACTCATAGTCAACAGCACTAACTCAGGCCTCCTAAAACACAGAATTTTCTCCATAAAACACATCATAGCCCTCTTGATTTTGGAAACCCTAGACAGCACTTCAACACTACACTTGGGGGCATTTTAAACGGCAAAACCAACAACAAACAGCACAAAAATGTGAAAAACGTGGTATGTATAAACAGTGAAAAAGACCCTTGTTTACAGTATAAGAGCTGAAACAAGAGGACAGAATGTCCCTTTGTTCTACTCCATCTAGCAATGTGCATGTCAAATGACTCAAATTTTTCACCATTCTGTACATGCCCATGTCTGCCAGAAGACCGTAAAAGCACTGCAACTACTGATGTTGAAGTTATAAATAAACTGTAACAAGTGGGCAAGTTCTCAAATACAGAATCAACAAAAAACGATGATCAATTTTATACCATTATCAATCAAAAAAATTACTCGTTATGCAAAAATTTTTCCTTAGGTCTTGATTTCTAGTCTCAGGTCTTAATCTACAGTATAATGGGGAGCTGGAGATGGACAAATGCTAAGGACCCTGAATTAGGAAGAACTATATGCAAAACGTAAGAAGAGTAAGAGAATCTCGTTCATATACTTTATGTTTATTAGAATCTACATAAATATTTGACATTACATACCTCTGACGGTCTTCATCATCACTGCTTTCATATTCTGATTCTTTACTAGATAATTCCTCATCCTCATCTGGCAAAGGAGGTTCCTCTGGTGGCTGAGGAGATGTAGGTGGAAGAGGTGCATGTAATGGCATATAGTCCTCATACTAAGTAAAAACAAAAAACACTATGGTAATCTATGATGTTTACAGAATAGAAAATTATTTCCATTCAGATACATGACTCTCACATTTCTCTATTCCTCATGATTTTCTTTTACACATTCAACATATACTGATGGAACACCTGCCTTAGTATACTGACTTTAGTCGATCACAAAACTTGTTTCTTCTTCCTTGGCACCTAGCTGGACTAAATTTCCAAACTTCCCTTGCAGTTGGATTTCATCTGAGTTTTAGTCAATGAAAAGGTTAGCATAAAAGCTTCCCACACATAAAATTCTCTCTTGTTTTTTTATCCGCAGGCTGCATGGTAACGTCCTCACCAACCAGGGAATGCACATAATGCAGATTAACTTGGGTCTTTTTAGTGACAGAAAAGAACACCATCTGCCCTACTTTTGGAATGAACCTGGCATGAGCAAGAGATAATATGAATTGTGTTAAATGGCTAAAATTTGAGTTTTGTTAACAGCAGCTAGTATAATCTTAACTATTATCCTCGCAACATGCCAGGCATTGAGGTTTCAGAGTTACAAAGAAAAATTATGAAGCTAATATAGACATTAGAAAAGCAATCAATGCACAATACAAAAGCACATTTTCTATTTATATGTTAGCCTTTTAAAATAATTTATCGCTGCTATTATCTAAAAAAGTACTAAGGGGACATTTATACAATGGAATCTTACTCAGCCCGAATGAAGCAGTGCCACTTGCAGTGACACAGATGGACCTAGAAACTGTCTTACTGAGTGAAGTTAAGTCAGAGAAAGACAAATATCATATGATATTGCTTATACATGGAATCTAAAAAAATGGTACAATGAACTCATTTAGAAAACAGAAATAAAAGTTACAAACATGACTCAAGAATCAGTCATGAATCTGAACAAACTTATGATTACCAGGAGAGGAGGGAGGGAGGGATAAATTGGGAGATTGGGATTGACATATATACACTACTATACATAATATACATAAGAACCTATTGTATAGCATGGGAAACCACTCAATAATCTACAATGGTCTATATGGCAAAAAGAATCTAAAAAAGAGTGGCTATATGTATATGTAGTAATATAACTGATTTAGGTGTGACTGCACACCTGAAATACAGCACTGTAAATCAACTATACTCCAATTAATAAAAATAACATAAAAAAAATAAAGTACTGTACTGCCACCACCGCCAAGTCGCTTCAATGGTGTCTGACTCTGTGCGACCCCACAGACGGCAGCCCACCAGGCTCTGCCATCCCTGGGATTCTCCAGGCAAGAACACTGGAGTGGGTTGCCATTGCCTTCTCCAATGCATGAAAGTGAAAAGGGAAAGTGAAGTCGCTCAGTCGTGTCCGACTCCTAGCGACCCCATGGACTGCAGCCTACCAGGCTCCTCCGTCCATGGGATTTCCCAAGCAAGAATACTGATGTGGGTTGCCATTGCCTTCTCCAATAAAGTACTGAGTATTACAGCAAACAACAGAATTACTAAAATTACTCAAGAGCAGATATAACCTACCAACAAAATTATTGATAGATTTGCATAGTAAACTCTAATAAAAAATTATAAACCTTTTTTATCTTTTGCAAATGTAACTTACCAGCAATAAAACCAGAAAGATGGAAATTTTAGACAATTCAGCTTGTTAAATGTAACTGTCTTATAGGATAGAACAACATTCTAGATCAAAGGACTGAATAACCCTAAGAGAAATGATGGCCTCTATTACCAAAGCATTGCTTTAATATTCTGGGGAATTCCCTGGCAGTTCAGGGGTTAGGACTCCACGCTTCCACTGAAGGGGTCATAGGTTCAATTTCTGATTACAGAACTAAGATCTCACATGCTGCATAGCATAGCCAAGAAAGAAAAAAAAAAAAAAGTTCTGGCTTTTCCCCAATTTCAGTTCTCCACAGGACTATTATTAAGTTAACTTTGCATTGGTTCTTCACTTTCAATAAATGTTAGAGATCACTGGCACAACATTTGTAAAATTTAGCCTCAATAATCTCACCACAAGAAGAGAAATTTTGAATGTTGAAAATTCCAAGAGCTTTCTTACCATGGGAGGCCGGGTGGTAATTGGTCCAAAAGGTGTGGGCAAATTCATTTTATTCATAAGATGAAGCACCTTAATAAAAGGGATAAAACATTTGAAATCAAATAGAAAAATCATGATTCAACTCACATCTGATAATGTACTCAAAAACTTTGCAATAACACAAGTGATTAATTTAGTGCAAAGGATCACCTCTTGCCTTTATAATCCCAGGAAGAGACTAAACTGGTATATCTCAGGCACAGGTATATCTTAGAAGATCAGCCTTCCTAAAATATTTATCAATTGTGCAAAATACCATCATTCTTATTATTAAAAATGTCATTTTCTTACAATGTAAAATTTACTAAAGTGTTTTTTCCCTTGATTATTGTGGAATTATGAAACATAGAAAAGCATAATAAAGAAAATGATCATCTATATTTTTTACTTAAAAGTATCTTTTATTGTCAATATTTCTAAGCATTTATTGAGGGATCCTCTATATCTTTTCCTCTAAGAAAGGAAAAGCATATGCTAAAGTAACGAAGAATTACCAGAGATTACATTTCCCAAATGAGCTTATCCTTATTAGTATTATTAATACTAAACATATTAGTATTTTTATGCTATAGTTTATAAAAACCCTTACTTGAAAGTATTAATTTTTTCACCACCTTTTGCAATGGACTGAATGCTTATGTCCCTCTCAAAAGTTCATATGTTAAATCCTAACCTATAATGGTATGGTATTAAGACATGAGGTTTTTGGGAAGTTATTAGGTCATAAGGGTAGAACCCCCATAAATGGGATGAGTGTACCTTATAAAAAGCACAACCGGGAGCTCTCTCACGCTCTTTCAGCTACATGAAGTTACAAAGAGAAAATGGCCATCTTCAACGCAGAAGAGGGCCCTCACCAGAACCTAACTATCCTGACACACTGGAATACAACTTCCAACCTCCAGACTGTGAGAAATAATTTTCTATTATTTAAAAACCGCCCTGATCATGGCACTTAGCTATAACAGCCCAATCTAAGACATCTTTAAAATTCTGAAATATTATCACCCCTATAGGAATTAGTCTGATTAATACTATTTTTTTAAAAGTATGAAAAAGTATTTACTTTGAGAAATGTATATTCTACTTACCTGCACATAGAACTTAGGCACACTTGCCAAAGCATTTACTATATTTGCTAGGATTGTGCTTGAAGGTGGTGGGTACATATACTTGAGGCATGAATTTAGAGGAAAAGTCAGCCTAAAAAAAATATTTAAAATGCTTATTGTGTTTTAGTAAGTTTCATATCAATAACTCATTTAAGGTAACCTAATAACATACAAATTGCTCAAATGATTCAGTAAATCTAAGAGTACTCTGTTCCTAAAAGATCCAAATGACTACATTTAAACAGCAACTTGCCTTCTCTCTGCATTACAGAAGAATATAGCATTTCTTTTCAGAGCTTATCTTACAACTTTGAACATTTTAATGGAACCAAATTCAGTGACAAACTCTTAATGTTCAATATGTTTAATCAACACACTAAAAATCTTCATTATATATAATAAAATGTCCTTTAAAAATATCTTATTTGACAAAACACATACACACGTACCCCACACACACAAACCTATCTATCCAAAATAAAACCAAAAGACACAATGAAATACAAACAAAAATGCTAACCCATGGTTTGGTGCAATTCCATTTTCTATGGTTAAACAATCCAGTTCTTTCTTTTCTTTATCATCTTCCATGGGATCATCAGACCTAAGAAATATGGAATCAAAGTTGATGTTATCTATAGAAGAAACAGAATGAAAAATTGCACACAAAAATGACACAATCTTTTCAAACACAGCATTATGAAAACAGCTGCATAAGTAAAACTTTCAACTATTAAGTAAATACCAATGAAAAAGAGAAACTAATTCCAGATATTAGATAAGGCAAGCCACATTTTCACTTATTCTTCATAGCAACCACACGAAAATGGTATGATGAATCTTACTGACAACTCTCATCCACCAAAATTGAAGTTCACAGGTATAAAATAGTGGCATACAAATGTCTTTAATGTGCATCAGCAAGGGTTTCTTAAAAATCAGACCACTGAGGTCTATGCTCCTCCCCACCCCAAGCGACCCAAACTTCTGATTCAATAGGACTAGGTTAACGACGAACAATCTTTCCTTCAGTCAAGATTCTAGACGATGCAGCTGGTGCAGGGATTGTACTATGAGAATCACTGGTGTAAATCAATTTATAAAGGTCATACAGCTACGAAGAATTACAGCTAGGAATCAAGGCCGTGCCTATTAATGATACCTTGCTATAGACTAGGATTTTATACTAGTTACCTTCTCTCCACTTATAGTTGAACACTTTCACCCTACTCTTTCCACTTCACATTAGTTAAGTCCTAATATTAAATCAATACTCAGGTTACTAATGCATAATTAGGAACAAACAAATGTATTGCTTTCAAGTACTAGATTCAGCAGGGAGATACAATCATTTACTGTTTCAGGTTATTTACTTGCTAGTCTGAAAATAATTCAAGATCAATACGACTCTTTAAAAAATTAGTAATTTTTTAATTTTTAAGAATTTTTTCAATAAAATAAAAAATAATAATAAACTTATAAAAGGCTAGGTAAACCTATCTACATACCTTTTCTTTTTTTCAGTGCCCAAAGGAGGACATGGTGAATGAACTCGATCTTGCTCTTTTGCAAATTCAACAACTAAAGTATGACCCAGAAGTTTCAGTTGATGAAGTCTTGTCAATGCCTTCAGTTGGAAGAACAAAAGAGTAAAAAAATTAATAACTGTACCAAAGTTATCTGTTAGAGACAACATATAAAGTAATTTATATATGTTTTTTGTTAAAGCTGATAACATTTCCTTGGCTATTTTTCACCCATTTCTAATCTCAGGCTGCCAAGCCTTCATTACTCCTTAGGCAATGTTTAGAAAATGTTTAGAAAAACAAACATAATGAACTGGGCTGGTCTCACTTTAAATTCACAATCACAAACACAAATCTGAGGGCAACCTTTAGTGAAGCCAACCAGTTACATACTACACTTCAGTTCATTTTTTTCTACCAATTTCTAAGATAATATTTTGCACTATTTCCTTCTTCCTAAACTTCATGATATTCCTGTCCCATTCTTTTAGCCTTGGATATTGCTTCCTACTTTAAGAAAACTGAAGCTACAAAATGAGAACTTTGGATTTCCCACCATAATTTCTCATTTACCATCTTCTGAATCCACATATTCTACCTTCTATCTGTTATCACATATCAACGATCCATGTTCTTATTTAAATCTAGTTGACTTGTATACGCTTCCCTGATAGCTCAGATGGTAAAGAGTCTGTCTGCAATGTGGGAGGCCTGGGTTCAATCCCTGGGTCGGGAAGATCCCCTGGCAAAGGAAACGGCAACCCACTCCAGTACTCTTGCTTGGAAAATTCCATGGATGGAAGAGCCTAGGAGGCTACAGTCCATGGGCTCACAGAGAGTCAGACATGACTGAGCAACTTCACTTCACTTCACTTGTATACTAAATCCCAGCCCTTCTTCTCTCTGGAACTGTACAGGGTGTGTTCCTACCTACATTGCTAATTTTCTGACCTCTACAGGATTGTCCACAACAGCATACAAACACAATCTGATTTCTCCATCCTAAAAAAGTATTTTTTCCTCATCTATTGATCCCACTTATCACTATTTCCCTCTATGCCCTCCCTCCCCTTAAATTACTCTTGCACTAAAGCTCCTCATGAAACATTTATGCCCTCTATCTAAAATTCCTCTCCTCCCATCCAGTCTCAAACTCACTCCAATCAGGTTTATGCCTTAATCATTCCACTGACACTGCTTGTCATAAACAACAAATTCTGTACTGCCACACCAATGGCCAACTCTCTATCTTCATTTTATATTATTTAAGACAATCCCTCCCTCCTTGATACATGTTCTTCACTTGGAGTCTACAGACATTATAACTTCCCTACAGTTTTCTTCCACACTTACTGTATTTTACTCCTCAATCACTTTGGCTTATACTGTCTTGAAATCTTAATGTCGGTATACTCCAGAGGTCTATTTTTGGATCTAATCCAGTACCCTAAATTTAAGGACCATCTTTATGCTGATAATTTCCCAACTTATAATTTCAGCCAAAATCTCTGTCCTTAAGTCAACGAACAAGTATCCAAATTACTGGATAGCTTCTTTTAATTTTAAACATTTTAAACTTACACTCCAGGAATTGAATCTTCTCTCCCCACCCTCATCTCAAATATTTCCCATCTGGAAACTTTCAATGGAAACTCCCTTCTTTCATTTACTCATGTCAAAAATCTTGCAATCACCCTTAATACCTCTTTCCCACGTTGTATATCCAAGCCATCAAGAATTCCTATTTGCTTCTACTTCCAAATTAATCTAGAATCTAACTATTCCTTACCATCTCCACTGCTACCACCATGGTCCAAGAAACCATCATCTTTGGCCCAAACTAGCAGTATAATCTTTTAACACATTTTCCTGTTTCTACTCTTCCCTGACTTCCATCTATTCTCAACACAAAGTGATACTTCTAAATATAAGTCAAATTATGATGCTGTTTTGTTCACAGTACTACAATGGCACCCAATTTTATTCAGCAAAATCTAGTGTACTTAGAATGTACATGTTATGGCCCTAACTTCTCTGACCTCAAATTCAATTTCTCCCCTCATTTTTTATGCCTTGGCCACAAGTTAGTGCATTTCACTTAGTCCACTTACTGGAATTCACTTCCCCAGATTATTTCTTTAGCTAACTTCCTTCACTTCTTTCAAAATGTTGATCAAACATGACCCCTAACTACTTTAACTGTAGCTTAACCCTCTCAACCCAGCATTCCTGATCCTATTTTTTTTTTTTTTTTCAAATAGCATTTCTCATTTTCTAAAATACTAAACAACTTATTAAGTTTATTATTTATGATCTGTTTCTCCATTCAAGAACATGAGTTCTGATGAGGGCACAAATCTGCATTTTATTTACTGATCGATCCCAAGATTTAAAGGAGCATCCAGCACATGGCAGGTACTGAGTATTTTTTGAACAAACAGAACTTTAGGGCTTAACTGGGACTATATTTTATTTTACCATCTCTATGCATTCTTATTTGACTCCATTATACAAAGCAAGTTTATCAATGCTTTAATAATTTTCAAGTCCTTAATTCAATCTAGAACTTTTCACTGTCAACGAACCTTTGATTATCTGAAATACAGGTGAATTACTTCAAGTTTCTTCCCCTCAAAATGTGTCACACATTCTCTTCAAAGTTATAGCTTTTAATTTTTAATGTTAACTAGTTCTCATAGCTTTCTCAGCTACTTATTAGAAACATGTCTCTCCCTTTGCTTAAAAAAACTATCAATCAAGTGCACTATTACCTAAAAACTCTATCACTGCTACTATCTTCTCATTCCTTCTTTTCAATACAGTATTTCCCAAAGACAATGACGGGTTCCATGTCCTCTGCTCCAAGTTAATTTTGACTCTAGAACAATGTGGTTCATTACCATATTTTACCAACAATATTTTAAAACTATATTTCAAAAGGTCTTTTTTGAAAAAAATGTTTTCCTATATTTTAATATATACAACGTGAAAGTCTTCTGTAATTTCACCCTGGGAGAAAGATATTTATTATTTGGTATATAGCTCTGCTACATTTTGTTCTGCTACTGCTGCTAAGTCACTTCAGTTGTGTCCGACTCTGTACGACCCCACAGACAGCAGCCCACCAAGCTCCGCTGTCACTGGGATTCTCCAGGCAGGAACACTGGAGGGGGTTGCCATTGCTTTCTCCAATGCATGAAAGTGAAAAGTGAAAGTGAAGTCGCTCAGTCCTGTCCGACTCCTAGCGACCCCATGGACTGCAGCCTACCAGGCTCCTCCATCCATAGGATTTTCCAGGCAAGAGTACTGGAGTGGGTCACCATCGCCTTCTCCACATTTTGTTCTAGGCATACACTAACATACATAGTAGTAGTTTTCAAAAACTCCAAGGTTACACCATATGTATTTCCCAACTTTGTTCATGACTCTATCTGGGTTACATTCCTGATCAATACATATTCATTTGACTTCATTTTCTGAGGGTTGTAGTCCAGTGTATGGATATACTACAATTTAAAGTGTCCTTTCCCCTTATTAAGAATTTGGTCATTTCTACAGTTTCACAATAAAAAGTACTTTACTATTAGACTGTTAATTCTTCACCTTGTGTCATGAAAGGATATTGTCTTCTTAAAACTCTCTTCTCTTTGCAGCCATGAGAATTTGTTTTCTAGTTCTACTTCCTTTTTTAACTTCTCCCTCCCTCCCTGTCTTCTTGGCTGGATCTTCTTCCTTTGGGAAACCATATTCATTCACCTTGTTGAAGAAATTCCATTTTTAAGCCTGCCTCTACTCTAGACCCATATTTTTAATTGCTTTCTAAAATATTTCCACAGAAGTAGCCCACCGACTCCTCAAAGTTAATAGATAACGTATGAATTCATTACAAACCTTTGCAAACATTCTGTGAGTCCTGCCCCTCATATTAGCTAACGTAATAACTCAAGAACTCGGTCTGAAAATCTTCAAGTGTTCCCTCTCTCTCAACCATATCTACAGGGATCACAGAACCTACAAACACAATCTCTACCAAATGTATATCTACTTCTTCTTTTTTCCTCTTACTGCCTTATGATCTTTTCTCCTACCTTGGCCACTGTAACACTTTTCTTGTCTAGGCTTTCCTTTTGATTTTTCTACATGTAATCTTTTTCCATACCTAATCCATTACATGAACTCTACAAGATATCTTTCATAGAGCTGACTATGTTACTGGTCAGCTTAAATTTACCAAGTACCTTAAGAATAACTACTAAACAAAATTCAATCCCTCCCTTCCTTCAACCCAAATTTAGACTCAACCTACTTTCCAAGTCCTATTTTGATTTCAACACTCAGCTTTTGCTCCACTTAGAGCTTTCCATGCTCCACAGCTTTCTTTAGTGGTCTCTAAACATGGAAGGCCCATCTCCCTTTGTTTCTGTCTCAAGATCCAACTAATTATTACAGGTCTACCTCAAAGGTCATCTCCTTTGCAAATGATCCCCTAGGATTTTTTAAATATACATTCTCTATTTAATTCTTAAAGCACCTTGCCTTGCAACTGTTATGTCTAAAGGATGTTTGCATCCTTCAAAGCTTGTCATTTTTAATTATATAACGGGTTACAATTCAATTTTAGTTCATGTTCCTGTTAATCTATTGCATAGCATCATAAGGAAAAACCCCAATGAACTTTTTGGTCAACTCATAATAGTCTTATGCCCAAATATCTAAACTTTGGGCAAAATCTGCCAACTGGCAAGCCAAATGTAGCCAATGAGGCAAACTCTGGAAATATAAACCTTTTTGCTTTTAAAAGGGCTTCCCTGGTGGCTCAGCTGGTAAAGAATCCGCCTGCAATGCAAGAGACCTTGGTTCAATCCCTAGGTTAGGAAGATCCTCCAGAGAAGGAAAAAGCTGCCCACTCCAGTATTCTGGCCTGGAGAATTCCATGGACTGTATAGGCCATGGGTCCTGAAGAGTAGGAAAGAACTGAATGACTTTCACTTACTTCACTTTGCTTTTAAAAACTATAGTTTAGCCTCATGTTTCATTTTTTAACTATGCCTGGATAATAGAAAGTTGGTAGTAAGTAACAGAAAAGAAATATTCATACCTTTACAGCTGCTTTTTCATTAGGGAAAGTAGCAAAAGCTGTATGTTTCTGAAAAACAATTAAGGTACAAATTATTTCAAATATAATTTCAATTTCTCATAAGGACGTCTGATATTTTACCAGCTGACAGTGATTTGACATATTAATAAAATCATAGAAAAGGCAGGAAATCAAGATCATTTAACTGATTACGAATTTCAGTACAGTGTTTTTGAATCAGTTTAGGATCAGACTTCTTTGAAATGAAAGCCTTGGGAGTGCACACACACAGCATATTTAAATATATTTTCAAGTACTTCAACTATCCGTAAGTTTAAAAACCTCTACTATCCAGAGAGGTCCATTCTTAAACTATCCAAAATCATAAATTATGTTCCATGTACAACGCATCCAAAGATCTAAACTTTTCACTAGATAGCCAAATGCAAAGTTTAAATGGGTCTTTCTTTTAACTCAATTCACAACCTTGGCTGCATATTAAAATCACCTGGGGAGACTATTGATGCCCTGTCATAGATCATCTGGAAGAAACATAACATCACCGTCACTATTTTAATGAAGAGCAATCATCTAAAACATCTTCAGATATAACGGAAAATAATTTTGTACATTCCTGAGTTGGACTTTTAATAGTCTTAAATTATCGCTCCCTTAAGGATTACGTCGTACGATTTTTATGAAGAACATCTTCCTCAAAAATCTAGTAGAAATCCTCTAACTAGCTTACTCAAGTTGCCGACTTCTGTAGTTTCTCCTCTATTTTGATGAATGTCTTAACGCTGGCTTACAAGCAAACCAAAAAATTTTTTTAAGTGTCCCTTTTTTTACATATTTTTGAGAGTACTCTTGAGTTTAAGAGAAATACTTATAAAATCCGAGCAGTTTAGAGATTCCCAGGGTGGGTGAGACACGAACTATAACAAAGCTTACTTCTCATTCTGTCTGCTTTGCCTTTCTCAATCGCCCTTTTCCTCAGCGCGGCAACTAATCGAGGCACAAGCCAATTAAAACTTGATTTGGGACGAAAGAGATTTTGATATGAAAGAGGAAGGACTGGGAAAGGGAAGAGGAAGCCCCCACTGCACAAGCGCATCTTCCCCACTCTTCTTTTTCCTTCTATCAGAACTTCCCTTTCCCACGCCACCGGCCTAGGATCTTCCCCGGAAACTAGGGGCTCGCGCGCTCTTACCAGGCGGCCCTTATCAGATAGGACGCGCACGGACTGCGCCCCGAAATACTTCAGCAAGTCCTCTTTCTCCTCAGCGGTAAGCTCGGCTGGCAGGTGCCTTACTAGAAGGGTTCGGTCGCCCCGCGGGGGAGAAAGCGAAGCAGAGCTCTGGCATCCTCTGGAAATCGGCAGCGGCTGCTCTGGGGCCGCCATTTCTCACACAGACTCAGAACCTGAGAAGCCGCTGAGGATTCCGTGGTAATCAAAAGAAGCGGAGCTAAGAGTCTTCTTCCACTCCGCGCTAAGGATTCTGGAAACAAGGAAATAACGCGAGACGGTGGCCTTCTCGCGAGACCTGCACCACAGACGGGTGACAACTTTTCGGAGACAAATTCCTTAGATTGGAAGGGGAATGTGCACAGTGATGGGAAACCAAAATGATTCAAATTCCAGATAGCTGCTGATGATGTTTAAAACAAAAATTCCCCCGAGAGAGGTGTGAGGATTAAAATGTTAAAGTACGACGGACTTCAGCCGCCTTTTCCGAAGACGAAGTAACGCCAAGGACAGAAGGACTTACTGCTGCGCATGTGCGAGCGGCGCGCCGGTCTGGGCGTGGCACCGGGGCGGTCCCCAAGGGCGCTTGTTAGGTTTCTAATCCTGGCAGATTTCCAAGTGCTTGTGATTGGCTGACAAATACAGGATGTTTGCCCAAGGCACTGGAATGCCTGAAGGTTGGACGTTTGTTTCTTTTTCGGCTCGGTATCCTTCACATAGCCAGGCTAACTCAGTTTTAAGGAAGAAAAAATTGAGACACAATCCGTGTTTTGTTTTGTTGAATCATGGGACCCAGCAGCCTGATAAGGTATGGCCATTGTTCCCTTTTATGCAACTAGCGGCCTCTGGGGCTTAGTGGTAAAAGATTGCGCCTGCCAATGCAGGAGACACAGGTTGGATCCCTGGGTCGGGAAGATCCGCTGGAGGAGGAAATGGCAGCCCTCTCCAGTATTCCATGGTATTCTCCCATGAGGACAGAGGATCCTCTTAGGTTACACTCCTTAGGGTCGCAGAGAGTCGGAAAGGACTGGTACACAGGAAGAGATACCCTAACATCACTCCCAAGTTCACAGTTGAAGACTCTGATGTGTACAAGGAGGTGTAAATGAGAGAGCTGGAATTTGATCCTGCTAGTAAGACTGGACTTTACACTATTCTGCCTTGTTTCTGAATGGAGTGAGCCTGAGATGTTTACTTATTCCATACAGTGAGGGCCTTGAGAATTCTAGGTAGACGTATTTTAGGTGCAGCAACTACAGTCTGGAGGTCTAAGGTGCCTCTTACTGCTCTTTTTAATTTGCTACTTGATCAGATGGTAACTGTATAGCAATAAATAGGATACCAAAGGAGACAGCAATGGCGACCCACTCCAGTGCACTTCCCTGGAAAATCCCATGGACGGAGGAGCCTGGTGGGGTGCCGACTGAGCGACTTCACATTCACTTTTCACTTTTATGCATTGGAGAAGGCAATGGCAACCCACTCCAGTGTTCTTGCCTGGAGAATCCCAGGGACGGCGGAGCCTGGTGGGCTGCCGTCTATGTGGTCACACAGAGTCGGACACGACTGAAGCGACTTAGCAGCAGCAGCAGCAGTCTACCAAAGTTTGGCTCCCGTGGAAAACGGATTGGGGAGCGGGGAGGGAAAAAACGAATAAAAACTAGAGAAACCGTGACGAACCCATTGACAAAATGTCATGTATGGAGAGCCAGACCATGAGGGCCCTATGGGTTAGTTCGGAGTCTTGATTATCTGAAAAGCAATTGATAACTGACAATTTCTTAATAGATCCCTGTGTAAATATGTATGTAATGATTACATGTTAGATATGAAAATTCCTCTGGTTGCAATGTGAAAGATGGAGTAGAAGCAGGAAGACTAATTGGGCTACTGCAGCAGCCTAGGCAAAAGACACTGTTAGAAATAGTATGGTAACAGTTGCTGTTTAGTCGCTAAGTCATGTCCAACTCTTGCAACCGCATGGATATAGCCCGCCAGGCTCCTCTGTCCATGGTATTTCACAGGCAATAACACTAGAGTGGGTTGCTATTTCCTTCTCTAGAGGAGCTTCCCAACCCAGGGATGGAACCCACCTCTTTCATTGGCAGATGGGTTCTTTATCACTGAGCCAACAGGGAAGCCTTTGGTAACAGTAGATATGGAGAAAACAAACAGGAATTGGGATATATTTCAGAAGTAGAATTAATAGATTTGCAGATGAAAAAGAGTAGTTACACATTAATTTGGGGGTTTTGGCTTAAGTCCCAAACCAACTAGGTGAATGATGATGTCATTTACTGAGGATGAGAAGAGTTCCTAAATTGCAGCTAGTTTAGGGACTATAAGGGAGGAAGGAAAACACTAAATTTAAAGAACCTATTCAGTATCCATTTTTAAAGTAGGTAGTTGGATGTGTAGGTATGGCATTCTGGAGAAACAGCAACACTGGGTACATATGTAGCATCAGCACATGTAATATTTATATCCAAAGTGTAAGAGTATAAGTAGAGAGAAATGGGACCAGTATTGATCCATGGGGAATGCCGGTGTTGAGAATTGAGAGGAGGAAGAACAAATCAATCCTTTTTCTCTTGGCTCTTACGTTCTATTAGTAAAGACGGACTGAAACATGTGGATGAGTAAGTAAATGGGTTCCTTTTGGAGAATAAATAAGTGCTTTGAGTGAGAAAGAAAAAAAAATATAGCCAAGGTAGAGAGAGAAACTGATTGGTGTGCTCAGTTGCTAAGTCGCGTCCGACTCTTTGCAGCCCCATGGATTGTAACCCACTGGGCTCCTCTGTCTGTGGGATTTTCCAGGCAAGAATATTGGAGTGGGTTGCCAGTTCCTCCTTCAGGGATCTTCCCAGCTCAAGGATTGAACCTTCATCTCCTGTGTCTCTTGCTTTGGCAGGCCAGTTCTTTACTGAGCCACCTGGGAAGCCCAAACTGATTAGAGCATGCTGCTTTAAACACTGTCTTTGGAGACTTTCTCCAGCATCTCTTACAGTTATCATATGTAATTAGCATATGGGGTGTGTGTGTGTGTGTGTGTGTTAGTCACTCAGTCATGTCTGACTCGGTGACCCCATGGACTGTAGCGTGCCAGGCTCCTCGGTCCATAGGATTTCATAGGCAAGAATACTAAAGTGGGGTGCCATTTCCTTCTCCAGGGGATCTTTTCAACTTCGGAATTGAACCTGGGTCTTCTGTATTGCAGGCAGACTCTTTAATGTTGAGCCACTAAGGAAGCCCTAGCATATGGTAGGCATATGTATATATTTGTTCAATGAGTGGATTCATGAATGGATTAACTTTAATATTACCACTTCCTCTTATAGTCAGTAATGGCTACATCAATCGTCAAGATAAGTTTAATTGTCTTTACTCTAGTTGAGTTGTCACAACTCAGTGAGATAAGAACATGACAACACTTTATTTTCTCTTAATTGCTTTTAGTGGTAGTCAATGAAACACACCTTATCCTTCCCTTGACAATAACTCAGGCAGATTTCATAATATCTTGGTCACCCTCAGTTACTAATAGTCCAACTTGGTTTGAAATATCATCTTCAAACTCTAATAAATTCACAATTCTTACCCTCCCCTCGTATAAGGCTTGACCAGAGGGATAGGAGGAAGATGTGATTTGCTTTCATTTCTTCCATGTTTAAGTGGAAGTGGCTGTGGTCTGCTTTGGGTTGTGTTTTTCTCATTTCCTTTTCTTGTTATAGCCCAGAGGTTCCCAGACTTTTCTCAGCTTGTGGTACCCTTATTGTTTTAGTAATTTTTTCACAACATCCCTCAGTGCTTCATTGTTGCCTATTACCCCTCTTTTTTTTTTTTTTTTAGTATCTTAGTTGCAACAGGTGAGTTCTTAGTTGTGGAATGTTGGATCTAGTTCCCTGACCTGGAAATGCCCCCTGGGTTTAGAGAGCAGAGTCTTAGCCACTGGGCGCCAGGGAAGTCCCACCTTTTGATTTTTAAGAAGCACTGCCCCCTGGGCAGACTCAGTAAGGCTCAGCAATTATTCCATATTATTTCTCTGCATTTTCCAACTCCCTGGGACTGTACAATTCATTCTGGTCAGTTGGCTGTTAATGAAAGCAACATGTGTCAATTCAAAACTATATTATAGAAGAAGAGATGTGAAAGCAGTGATTGTGGGGGCTGCATATTAAGGTCAAAGAGCTGTGAGGTAAACACTGCATAGAATACCTACCTGGTCACCACATCAATGACAACTGCCCTACAAAGGTGCTTGACTGTCTCCAAATTTTGCATAAGTAAGAAATAGCTTTTATTTACTTTTATTGAATAAATACACTGTTAGTTTAGGGCTAGTTAATTTTTTTTCCATAGTAAAGCCTATTCTTTCACCATTAAAAATATACTCTGTGATAGCTCATTTTATGTGTCAGTTAGACTGACCACAAGGTACCCAGATTAAATATTATTTCTGGGTATGTAGCTGAGGGTGTTTCTAGATGAGATTAACATTTGCATTGGTGAACTCAGTAAAGTAAATTGCTTTCACTAATGTGGATAGGCATCATATAATCCGTTGAGCACCAGAATACTACAGAAGGTGGAGAAAAGAAGACTCATCCCCTTTTTCCTGCCTCACTGATTAGGCTGAGACATCTTATTTCATCTTCAACAATCAGACTGGGTTCTGCACCATCAACTCCCTTTGGTTCTTAGGCTCTCAAACTTAGGCTGAATTCCACCGCCAGCTTTTCTGGATCTCCAGCTTGCAGATGACACATCATGGGACTTTTCAGCCTCCATAGTCATGTGAGCCAATTCTTCGTAATAAATATATATATTTATATTTTAAGACTATATAAATGAATACACATTTTAATTTATAAATATATTATATATATTGTTATAAAACACAAATGTATATTGGGTTGGCCAAAATGTTTGTTCAAGTGTTCCATAAGATGTTACAGAAAAATACAAACTTTATGACCAACCCCAAAATAAATATAAAATATAATTTTATTTTTATTTATTCAAGTATGAAAATACATGAATAGATCATACACTTAATTTTTATATTTTTAAAGTTATTATGCATGTGTAGTATTATACATAATATATTCCTGAATATGTTTTTGTTACAGCAGCCACAGTGATTCTGTTATGCCCTT